AACGTTATCGTTAGTATATTTAAATATTTCAAATCAATTTTTTAGTTCTAATATATGATYGATCTCCTTCAAAGTTTTTATACCCTGTTGCGTACTCACATATGAACRATATTTAATTCTGTTTTTATGACAGACGATTTTCACTTAAAATCAAAAACATTATTAGTCTTATCGCTTTTTTATAGATTGTTTGTATGGGTRCTAATTCTTATATGTATATTTATATATACGCTCCTCAAAGTATATTACAATATTGATAGTAAAAAGAATATCTATAAATATGTAAACTATAGTCAAATGTGCCAAAAATATAAGATAATTGTCTTTAATGTATTTTAATCAGATGAATCATYTATAACTAYCTATAAAATWTTTATTCGTCAAGTCAGTATTGCAGTTTGTATGCATTTCACGTTCTGCGTAGAAATGTGTATTTTCTATTGCATAAAATTCGCATTTAACACGCGCCGAGTCATCAAAGGATTGTATCGCTGATTGAGACCGTCGTTTTCAAATACGGTGTTAGTATTGACCGGAATATTATTCACGCCAAGTTTGGTAAACTAGTGAGGTAATACGGTCAATGGTTTTAACGCTTTGGAAGTATTCGTGTCGAGATCACACGTTGTTGTTATCGTTGTTATTACAACTTATCCATGGAAGACGAACGGCGTTCATTGAACACCTATATTATACTCGTATTATATTAAATTATATTTCTGTTGATATAATAAAATTAATAAAATAAAATTCTTTTCATCACATGAAATTTTTTTCTTCGTGTTCAYTTGATAATTCATCAACTAGTTTTCTTTATGAGGATTTTTCTAAACTATTATTAGGTAGTTGAATTTTTATGGTTACTTGGAATTTAATAAAATAAAGTGTAAAATTCATTAAGTTTTTATGATTTCATATTTTCATTGAACTTGTACCACTCAAGGTCTAGTCGTTGTTTATTCTCACTAAGCGTGGATATTATGCTCTTTAATCCTTAAATTAGTTTTTAAAATTATTATCCGTATACATAATATAATATTGTATCTGTATGTATTATAATATCAGGGACACCCGAGATACCACGAAAAATGTATATTATTTATTTAGTTTTTGGTCCCACAGTCTTTCGTAATAATAATATGGTATGTTTTCATATTGCGTTCTAATGTATATAGTTTCTTCAGGCTAGCTAAATATTATACTTTTCACACCTTCGCTATTAGGCACAGGCAAGCGTGTAGGATTGTTTTTTCTTGCATATGAATAAATCTGTTAATATCATCCATTGAACATGATCTACCATTTACGCAATTTAAATCTTAATCAATATTATATTATCTTTTATTTTCATTTYAGGTAAGTCATTGAAAATATTGCATTATGCATGTCTGGATACACGGCACCACGTATACATGACCACGGCCCTCGGGACAGGTTGGATTGCGCAACACATGTTGGTTTTTTTTTTTTGGTATAATATGACTTTTGAGGTTTTTTTACCGAAAAGTCTTTGATTCCTTAGATGGTGGATACGCCCCAAAAATCCAATCACAACCAGGTAAAACATTAAATTTATAATAAAATAGATATAGGCTCATGTTCATATACACATACATATATTGTATTGGTATACCTAGTGTTCAACACAATGCATAAAATATACAACGTGTATATTTATAAACACAGAAGCTATATTAWAATAWKAATAATAATTATTATTAAATTACCTACATATTATATTAGTATGGTATTATACGTACGATATTTGAACAAATATTGAGCCTCGGCTCTATAACAACACACAATATATTATAGGTAATAAGGTGAGGCTTATAATATTGTCGGTGAAAAAACAAACACACGCGTTGAACCTCAGAGCCGCACTGTGCAATTACGACGTTGAAATTTTCTCTCTCTGTCTTTTTTTCTGTCCAACGTACTCATTACACAGACACACACACATAATCACTGTTATATCGCGTTGATTGCATTTTTATAAATCCCGCACGTATGCACGTAATCACTCAGTTATAGTCGACTAATTAAGATACTTAGGCCGACCCTATAAATGGTGAATTGGGGAGAAACCGGCGCTGCGGCGTGACAACGAGTATGTCCAGTTCATCGGCACCGACGTAAAAACCTAACCGCGTACCACACCCTGGAAAAATATTGTATTTCTTCATGTCCCAGGACATGATGTCTCGAACTTACTAACAAAATATGTAATTAGTTTTCATGATATTACCCCGTCTTATTTTAYCAGTTTAGGCATTATGTCATCATATTATTATTCAGTATAGTATAAGTTTATATTTAGTTTTTATATTGCAATATCGAGGTGTTATGGTTCTATGTGGGTACTTACCATTGTTTAAAATAATTTAGAACGAAATAATATTTGCTTTAAAGCCTATAGGTATAAGCTTACGAGAGTGCCAATATGAACGTGTGCCAATGATTTAATATGCGTATTATTTGCTATTATTATCCTTGTAGTTGTTATCATAATGAAAAGTATTTCATTGAATCATGATAAGCACTTTGAACTGAATCACAACGATACAGCATAACCGAGCTCAATATAATAGCAGTCCTTATGCTCCGTTTATTAGATTGCAGCATTTGCATTGTGCAGTTTATTATAAAGTTGCATAATAATAATAAACCTGCTCTAGGYACCTTTGCTCTGGATAAATCCARATGCATGATATTCCCGTATTTGTATTCCGATCGTMTTGTARATGAGCAATACGTGATTATGATACAGAGGTTTAAAATTTATCAATTATATACGCAAAATTGTGGTTCTTCTCCCTTATATGATAATTTATTTTTTCAAATATATATTATTTATGGTCACAATCGATTGAAATTTGACTAGAAACCCAATACTGTAAACAATATGTATTATTCTATGAAAATACAATGTCCGTTGTAGAAAAGAAAGACTTTTATGCAATCTTATTAATAGCTAATAAGTATCAACGATATATAACGAATTAATGTAATCTTATAATGATATAATATATTGCAGTTAGGTCCAAGGTATATAAAAATATACTGACAGTTCTACCACAGCCCTTGTTTTTATTTTTAAAACTATAAAATTTTTTCATAATTATTATAAACAATAGTTCCACCGTAACGGCATAAACTATATACCTATGTACGACTATATAAAACCTCTACCGTTAGTTTGTTTTTGATCAACTCATATAATAATTGATAAACTCAAAATTTTAAAGCCATAGACGCAATTAGTCTGATCTTAGGTGGTATAACTATCCCTCATTTTAAAATTAACACCCTTCATATTTTTAATGTTTATGAATCGAAAACTCTAATTGAAAAAACATCAACCAAAAACAGCTTCTCATATAATGTTATACATTTAGAAGTGCATACTGCATACTATCGGAGTTTAATAAATTAAACAAATAGCTCATCATTTTAGCAGTCCACAAAAACGTAGAGCTTTAGCATTCTCAGATTTTTTATTGAAATTACGCCGAACCACTTTTCTAAATGTAAAAATAAAATGAAAAGCAACCGTGTTTTACGTTGAACATAATATAACATCGACATTACTTATACAATTTTAAAACATTTAAGGCATTTACTATATTATATTTTATGGAATGCTTGAGTTAAACGCGTATCTAAATAATGAGTGAAACTCGATTACTAAGTATGTGTATCTACATTTGATTTTTTTTTTTTATTGCTTAGTTATATAGTAATTTTGTTGTTAAAATATTAATAATAATTATACAATGTACTTATTACTCACTAAAATGCATAAACAGTTTTTCACAAGATAAGCATCATTGAAATATTTTGTGAATAGTTGAATCAAAGTTAATATGTAGGTAACAATGTTTTAGATAATGAGCGGATCCATACATTGGTTTTACAACGATACTATTTTTTTTTGTCTATTACACATATTAATTACAGTATAGTAATAAATAATAATACTTAGATCTCAAAGGGTTCTGTTAGAAAATTGTGCCTAGTTGGTACTGTAAAAACCTTCAGTCCTCTAAAAAATAATCGGTGAAAAAAATAAACAGATAAARTAGAATTTACAGCCATTGTATCTATTTATTTAATTACTAAGGATTTTATTAATACGACTATGTGTGTTTTTGTTAAATTAAATGTATACACAAACCAATGGATATCATAAAATATCTTTGTGTTTTATGTATACCAAAACTTAACGGTATAAGACTAAGAATATGAAATTCACTAGTTACCTACTATAAAACTTAAGTCATATGAACACWTTTTATAGTTATAATAAACATATACATGCATAATAACTCAATTATAAATTACGATAGGAAATTTTAAGTTCAAAATCAATATACTTACCAACTTACGTTATATCTCTCTGCAACGTCTCTGTTCCCTTAATTTCAAGTTCAAATACGTTATTTTATTATTTACCAAAGTATACGATTGTATGTTTGTATAAAATGACTATTATATAATATCTAAATAGGTAAAAATAAAATACCTGTCTGTTAATACAATATATACAAATATAAAACGAAATTATTGCGTGTGTCTCGTCGCATAATTTTAATTTTTTTAGTAATTACACATTTGGATTAAATCTGACTGTATTTACAAAAATAATGCGGGACACAAACTGCAGCAAAATATTATACATATATATCTCGTCTGCAATTATCGTAATCAATCTACAGCAGGCTAGGTACCTAATAACAGTAGGTAGGTACGTCCGCGATGAGGTAAATGAAAAAATAAGATCGTATAAAAAAAACACCATTACTATTATAGTGGTTATGGCCATTTTGGTCAGTTTAAGATCATATTATGGACCGAGGCGTTCATATCTATCGCAAACTGGAATTACATATTATACCTGTTTTCTGGGATCGCGCAAAACTGTCGCAAACATCATCACCCATTATCGGGGACATAATGTGCGCTCGTGTAATATTTCTGCGTATAAAAGCGTCGCGTGACCGCGGTCTGTCATATTCACTCGTCAACCGTCGTCGCAAGTAATAAGTGCTCAGAGTAATCTGTTCGTGCAGTTAATATCGCAGCCAGTCATTTTCACGCAGAGTACATCAGTGCCCAACCAAAGAAATCAACAATGTTCGCCAAAGTAAGTGAATCTTGTACCTTATAAATATCGTTATTGTTGTTTTGTACGCTAATCAGATGTCACCGAGGAATAGTGTAGGCTTCGATCGGAAAAATCGATTCATCAAAACGTTCTGCACAGGACCTATACTCAGCGTTCCGACTTGGACGAATATATTGKGTATAAAACCCGTCAGTTGGTTGTTTTTCTTAAATTTCGTTTAACTACTATCAAACTACAGCGGCAGTAGTCACAAGACCAATAGGTTCTATATAGGTACCTATAGCGGTGTACCCGATCTAATCAAGACCCAATACCACTTTCGTCATAGATTTGTGTAATGCGTTCGTTGTATGCAATATTATTTAGTTATCACATCATTATCCATGAAACGATCGAATATAATCACTCACATTTCGGATGTTATTATACATAACATATGTTTCCTAACACGTCGGCGGTTTCAATAATATTGATAAAAATCGAAAAATGTGCAYTGTAACTGCACATAATGTTTATAAGAACCAGCCCTTAATTAATAATTAATTTTGAAAAATTTTTCTAATACATATTGAAATTATTAATTGCACGAATTCTGGGCTCCTTCTTGAAAGTCCTGGTCCCAGTATCATGGGTCTTTTTGACCCCTCCCCCGCTCTTGCGGCGTCACTGATATTAAGAACACGATGTACACAAAATCGTTAAACGCATTTTATACAGAGTTAACTTTTGCTGCAATTATCTAATGTTATCCGTACAACATAATGACGATTTCATTATTATTATTATTATTATTATTATTACTATTATAATTATTATAACCTATTATTATTATCATTATTATTATTATTATTATTATTATTACTATTATAATTATTATAACCTATTATTATTATCATTATTATTATTATTATTATTATTATACAAAACGTGTTGATCTTTTTACAACAGGTAGCAGTTTGCTTCGCTTGTGTCGCCGTATTCGCCGCCCGGGCCCAATACTACCCGGCCGCTTACCCTTCGGCCGCCGCCGTAGTGCACGCCGCCCCGGTAGCTTACCCAGCTTACCCAGCGGCCGCTTACCAGCCAGTCAACCCGAACCCGGCGTACTCGTACAAGTACGGTGTGTCCGACCCGGCCACCGGCGACTACAAGACCGCCGAAGAGAGCCTGTCCAACGGCGTGGTCCAGGGACAGTACAGCCTGGCCGAACCCGACGGCACAGTCAGGACCGTGTCATACACCGCCGACGACGTCCACGGTTTCGTAGCCCAGGTCACCAAGGGCGCCAAAGTGGTCGCTCCCGCCGCCCCGGTGTACTCTGCCCCAGCACCGGTGTACTCCGCACCGGCACCAGTTTACGCGGCGGCACCCGCCCCGGTGTACGCGCCCGCTGTCCACGCACCGGTGTACGCTCCTGCCGTTTCGTACCCACTCCCGTACAAACGCCAAGCGTAAATGAACGCGATTTCGACATTGCCTTAAAAACCATCATCGTCATCATCGTCATCATTATTATTATTATTATTATTAACTGTCATCATCGTAGTGTGAAATRCTACTGCASCATGGAAGTCCTCCTCGCGACGACGCTCCTTCTTCGTATATTGTCTTGTCTGTAATTCRTATTATCTTTTTATTTTTTGTATAATATTTAGTTTCCTACTTGTAATATTATTGTATAATGTATTATTATTATATAACCACATTAAAAAATGCAATAATAATACCTATATAAATATATTGTTTTATCGTAMGCACAAATTACGTTTTAAGTATACCTATACCTGTCTATCTTTTCTCCACATACCATGAGATTTTCGATCATCAAATCCGTATAAAAGTTACATGCTAAGCAAATTTCCGATTTCTGCTGTCCTGCATTTTATAGTGAAAACTGAAAAAGACATAGGTACCTATTATAGGTCCCGTGGAAAAGCGAGCAGAGTATTTTTTTCAGTTAGTATTCTACCTAATAGCTACCATTGTATTACTCATTAACGACGTGTTATGTACTTGGACTTAACCTGTTACTAAATAGCGAATGGGCCATCGTTGAATCTATCTATTATTTTATCTCATATCAATCCGTTTTGTAACTTAAAATTACWTATACTATATATTGTGTCATCGTCAATAATATAATATTATYATCCATTGTGGTGTAACACAATAAATATTTAGTWGGTACATTAATAATTGCRCGTGTTTTCTATTAATTTTGGGTTGGTRTAATTAAAACAAGTTTCGTCGACAACTTTAAGCTATACCTTATTATGATTTAAAAATGAATACAAGTATTTTAACCATTTTTAAAAAAAAGATGAATTTTAAATTGCGACTCATATTATTTAATATAATATTTATATGTATAGGTACGAATTTCTAAATTTGTTATACCTAAAATCTACTTAATTAACTAAATCATTTTTATAAAGACTGAATCATAACAGTGCTACTGTGGTGTATATTGTATATTATAATTAAAACGTTGTGAATTGTATTGATAATGACGTTTGATTGAAGTATAATTGTATATAATATTACCTAAATACTTATACACATGTCTACGAGTAATATTAGTTGCTGTACAATCACGTTTCCGGTTGTGTGACCAGCAGACGTAAATGATACGTAATAAGATATATTTTTATTTATTTAATCTTTAAAATCATTAATACGAGTTTAATGTGATTTAAAACTATGTGTTACGAATCGGTGTACCACTTTTTTAAAAATCGTGAACAGTAGTCGGAATGTATTGTAAAACTAGTTCGATTTATMGTTTATATAATATGAACGTTTCACGAAATAACAAATATTCTATAACATAAGACGAGGACGACCTTGCATGTCGTATTATATTTATGTACGTGTAGATTTTAGTGTTTTTTTTTTTAAATATTCTTTATCATAAAATTATTATCCACTTGATTGTTATAAGTATAACGATTCGTTGTTACATATTATTATACTCGTAAAGTTGCTTTTATCACTTAACCGTGCATAAATCCAAATAGATCTTACGAACAGTCGTTTTAGTCTTTGCTGTTATTAAACACCTACCTATGCGGCCTGCAGTATAGTATAACATTATGTATATTATGCCTATTGCCTATCAAAACTTTTCATCTATTACACTATCAATTGTCATATTTTGACCGTGATAAATCGGCCACTACAAAAAGACCCGCGCTATTCATAATAATAACTCGTAATCGTCKTGTATTATTATGACTGGTCCAAARTTAAAACATTGTATGCGTACCACCTTTACCTCAGCGTTGGCTATTGTTTTCCGTTTTAGGATGCTCAGTGGGGATATTATTTTGTGTTCAGAAAATATTTTGCTATATACCTAGTGCAGTCTAGTGCGCATAGGTACGTACCTATAATGAATTTAATTTTAAACGTCGATTCATCGTGTACTTACATGTTTGACGACAAGACGAATTCGTACCTCGGCAAATTATTGTCCACCCACTCCGCCTTAAATTGATGGATTAGTTCTTCAGATATTATTGTCTGCTATACTAATTTGTATTTTTTTTTTTTTATGTAACAATCGAATTATGAAATCGTTTTTATTCGATTTCAGATATAAATAACGTTTGAGATGACTGTCGCTGTCTCCAAATACTCGGGATATTACAAGGTTGAAATCAAAAGTGTATATTTATGTTTTGACAAATACTTATAAACCTTTTGCCTAAAATATGTCCCTATCGAATTTAATGAATCATCGACTGTATTTACGTGTATTTCATTTTTTATAAATGACTTTTCATTATGTTATCAATTTTTCATATAAKTTTTGTATTATGTTGTTATGATGTTTACTATTTAACTATTTGACATCGTTTTACGCTGGCGTGTATATAATTGTGTATAATAATGATTGCGTTTCGGGATTTTCAGTATGTTTTTGTGATTATTTAATAAATATGTCGTTGTTAATAAAAAATTTTGATAAAAAGAAAATTCAATAATACAAATGACTCCAACTAATACATTTTACGTATACAGATATACAATAAATTATTATATCATGTTTATCCGTCAATGTAGGTAAGATCGTCGTCTGTCAGACTTAAAAGAAAAACCAAGTCGGTCCATTTTTATAGTTTTACACACGGCATATATGCGTACCTACTCATATTGGGTTCGTTTAACACACATTGTGTTCACTAAACTCGATCAAGGCGTAGCCRAAAGGATGAAAATGACAGAAACACTTCGTCTCCTTTGACTCTGCGTCTATTTAGATATAGGTTTCTTGATTGCGAAATCGGATCGTTCGAAATTCGAATCCATTGTACGTCGTAGGTACGTGTCGATCTAGTTGACAAAATAAACATCATCCAAGGACCGAGATCGCGTTGTGCCACGTRTAGTTTCGTAAYGATTTTTTGTAAACGTTTGCCCACAATGGAACGATGGCTTACGATAATAACGATTATCATAATAATAATAAMAATAATAATGATAAATCATAATTCATAACTAAATTCACATGTTAAATTTGTATAGTGTCTGAAATGTCTGTCTGTCCCATGTGTCGCGGTAATCGACCTCTCGTATACTCTTCAGAAACCTCGTGCATGTGCAGTGCCACATATGCATCGTGYTGCACCGTAATGCACTGCACCTCACACGTTTACGATACTCAGATTGTCATACGATAATATTGCAGCAATACGTATTGTATATTATACTATTATACAACTATACTATTCTCCTGTCTATAATTGCGGATTCCGGTTGAAGTAAGGAACGTGTTATTAGTTCTTATTA